TACTTTAGTACTTAGACTTTAGTGCGTCAGAAAGGGTTTTCTTTACAAAAGTCTATCACAAATTCACGTTTAATGCGTGAAAAAGTGGAAAAAGTGGTTTCTTTCTAAAGTCTAATTGTTATGATTTGTATTTGTATTTAAAAGATCAAAATTATCCGATCAATTGATCGATCATTTGATGGATAATTGTTTGGAATAAAAGACAATTCATCTCAAATAATCATCTCAAATAAAATAACCGATGTTTTCCCAAAAGAAAACAAAAATGGTATCCGAAAAAAAGGAGCAGATTTTTCCAAAAAAAAAAAAGAAATCGCAAAAATTGGTCTTTTGTTTATTTGAAAAGGAATTCCGGAGTTTTTCTTTTCATTTTTGAATCTTTTGTCTCTTTCATCAAAGAATACCGCTTTTTTTTGTGTCAATTCTTACTCAGAATTACTCGGAATTGTACTCGGAATTGTACTCAGAATTTGGTATTTGTAAAGTTTGTACTTTTGAGTTGTACTTTTGAGTTGCGTCTTTTGCGCGAAATTATTTCTTGTATTTGTAATACAAGAAACAATTTAGCTGGACTTAAGCACTGGGCTTAAGCAAACAAACCCTTTCTAGTGCACTGAATTCTTCAGTTTTCTTTCAGAGAAGAGAAATGAGTGCAGAGAGTGCAAAGAAGTCAACAGAGAAGAAGTCAGTGCACTAGAAGGGCTTCAATGTGCTTCAATGCTTCAAAAATGGTGTGTTTCAATGATTTGCATTCTGCTAAACTGCTAATTCTGCTAAAAGTCCTTTTAAGCTCTACTTTAGACAATGAAAGCAGAGCTCAAGTCGAGCTTTGTTTTGTTTGATCTTGTCTTGTCTAGTTCAACTTTGCTTTGTCCAGCTTTCCAGCTTTGCTTTCCAGCTTTGCTGCTTTGCTTTCCAGCTTTGCTGTCTGCTTTGCTTTCCAGCTTTGCTGTCCTTGGGTCCATCATTAAAATTGCAAAGAATTTGAGAATTCCTCTGCCAGAAGGTGTTTGTTTACTAGAAAAAGAAAAAAGAGGAAAAGAGTATTGAGGAAACTTAAAAAGCAGTTGCTCAAAGCCTCACCGATTTTTTAAAACCGTCTTTCCGTCTTAACTTCCCATCTTTTCCACTATTTCCCTAATTGTCTTTATCTCTTTCTGTCTCTCTTTCCGATAACCCTTATTTTCCCATCAAGTAGTTGTTCTTTATTATTTCTTTATTATTTCCTTGATAACTATGGTCTCTTTTTCTTTAATTGTCCTCAAATGTTAACCCATTAGCGAAGAAATAATTTCCCCGCAGATAAGAGATGCCGCCTATGGGTAGTTGAGAAACCACTTTCACTTTTAAAAAAGCCGACTTTCTTCATTTTTTTTTTCTATTTTATCTTTTAATGCTTTAATTAACATAATTAACATGTCAAAATTATCCTTTTGGACTCATTTTATCCATCTCTGATGGATAAAATTAGTCCAAAAGGATTTTATCATTTTATTTTATCATTTTATCCATCTCTGATGGATAAAATGAATCCAAAATCCATCTCTGATGGATAAAATGAATCCAAAATCCATCTCTGATGGATAAAATTAGTCCAAAACCATCTCTGATGGATAAAATGAATCCAAAATCCATCTCTGATTGAATTTTTGTATTAACTTTGTGTCTTGTGTCTTGTGTTTAACTCAAATCTATCTTAATATTGTACGCATACTTTTTAAATCTCATAGACGCATGAGATTATATATTTATATCCCATATACGCATTAGATTATATACTCATTATAGGCATAAAGAACAGCTAGTTGATAGGGAACTGTGTGTTGTGTTGTGTTTTGTGTTTACGCATACTTTTCCATTTTCTAGCTAGCTGTTGAAAGTTTCAATGAAAGCAGAGCTCAAGTCCAGCTTTGTTTTGTTTGATCTTGTCTTGTCTGGTTCAACTTTGTTTTGTCCAGCTTTCCAGCTTTGCTGTCTGAAGTCCTTGGGTCCATTAAAAGCTAGGCCTATTCTGACTGGGTAGATAGGTACGGGATTGATTGGTTTTAACTTCTAATTAAGTGACAGATCCTAGTACCCAGTATCCTGTCAATCATTTGGCCAAAATGTAGTGGTTCTTGGCTCTGTTAGTATTCAGTGATTCTCATAAAAGTGTGAACAATCATCCAGATACGATCTATACAGATATCTATCCAAATTTCCCCAAATTTCCCAAATTTCAAATCTTTCCTAGATCGGTGAGTGACAACTTTTGCCTGAGGCAACACTCACTTCCGGTGCGGTATCTCGGGAAAGCAGCGTTGAGGCTAACACTTGTAGATTTCTTGTTATTGTGATTTTACATAGTGTTAGATATCCTCAGGATTCAACAACGAGAATCCTTTGTTTATTGGGTGAGATTTATTTGATTAGGACAATAACAATCGCATATTGGTGACCACGATTCAAAACATATCCAATCAATTTCTGGATAGTTTATGATTTGATCTTTACTTGATTGATAGTATCAGTTTATAGGTGTCTCTTAGCTTCATAGTTGACTGAATTCTGACTGATTTGAGTCCTGACTGATCTGAGTCCTGACTGGTTTGAATCCTGACTGATCTGAATCCTGACTGATTTGAGTCCTGACTGGTCTGAATCCTGACTGATCTGAGTCCTGACTGATCTGAATCCTGACTGGTCTAAATCCTGACTGATCTGAATCCTGACTGGTTTGAATCCTGACTGGTCTAAATCCTGACTGATCTGAATCCTGACTGATTTGAGTCCTGACTGGTCTGAATCCTGACTGATCTGAGTCCTGACTGGTCTGAATCCTGACTGGTCTAAATCCTGACTGATCTGAATCCTGACTGGTTTGAATCCTGACTGGTCTAAATCCTGACTGATCTAAATCCTGACTAGCTTTAGGAATTGTAAGCAGGCCAGTTTCATGTCTGGTTTGAAGTAGATTCAGAAACTAATTGTAGGCCAAGACTGTGTACTTTGTGCTTTAACAAGCACTAGCTTTCTGAAATAGAAATTTCCGCCATTGATCAGTCTAGCAGTCAAGCTATTAATCATTAGATTTTGCTTGAATTGAAAAATTTCCGATTTATCGCTTTATCTAATCTTATCCCAATAAAAAAAACTAAATTAAACTTAGATTTTACTTAAGATTACTATTCATAAATTTCAATAGGAAATATTTAAATTGAAAATCTCTCAACTCCATAAGAGATTCCCATGGAGTACTTGAGTCGATCACCTAAGGCCATCCACTCCTTATTCACTCCTTATCCACTTCTTATTAGCGGCTTTCCTTTTCATTCATTCATATTGTCATATTGTCTTTTAATATGTCATCTCACACCTTTTTTTTTTCCTTTCATTTCTTGAATTCAACAATGAAATCTCTTTAAGACACGCCCATTTGTAGTTTTTGAAATCAAGACAGTTTTGTGGTTAGTGTCGGCTCTTGAATTCAGATTTTTATCAATTCTCAATAACTATAACAATTTCTTAACTAGTTTTTTTCCGTTTCATAAGTCTACAGTAAGCTTTAGAACACTTTAGATCGAGTACAGTAGCCTAGTAAAGTAGATCAATACCTTTTCTAGATTAATCGATCCTTTCCCCAACAAAATCCCTTACCTTTCAAAACCCAAAAGATCTGGGTGTGCACAGGGGAATGAGATGGGTGATTGGTTGAAAAGGAGATGGAGAGGAAAGGGGAAAGGGCAGAGGAGAGGAGACTCTTTTCCTAACTCCTTCCCCAACTCTTTTCCTAACTCCTTTCCCAACTCCTTCCCCACTCCCCATTTCCCCTTTAAATTCAACCATTTGTCTTGCGCGCGTCCGTTTATGGGCGCACGCCGCCTTGCATCGCAACATTCACTTTTGGAGAAGATCTCCACGCGTTGAGTTTTGTCGATTTTTTTTTTCGGGAATTCTCCACTTACCGTAGTCATTTTAGCTAATTTCCCATGAGTTTACCGTATTTTAGCTAATTTCCCATGAGTTTACCGTATCCCAGCTGTTTTGCAAATAGAATTTTGTCTTTGAATTTACTGTATCTGATTCTAAATTGAATTACCTCTAACTAAATTACCTAATACTGTAATAGTAGCCCACCCCATAATGACGGTGCGGAGTGTTGCGTAGTCTAGCTTTGAACGAGTTTTTCTTGACACTGTTTTATGCTACAATGCGCGCTTAGGTATCAAAAAATAGCCCTGAATTTCAGCTATTTTTTGATACCTAAGCGCGCATTGTAGCTTAAACCAGTGTCGAGAGAAACTCGTTCAAAGCTAGACTACGCAACACTCCGCACCGTCATTATCTTTGGTATCAAAAATAGCCCTGAATTTCAGCTATTTTTTGATACCAAAGACGCATTTTTTGGAAGTACGAGCGCTTTGAAAAAAATGAAATACTAAAAAGTTTTGCGACTACGCGACTGTACGAGGCGGGCTGGGGTACTATTACAGTATTTACGGTATCTAACTTCTAAATTGAATTACCTATCTAACTTCTAAATAAATCTAAATAAATGTGATTTGCATTTTATTAATTAGTGATCCTTTGGTAAAAAAAAGCCAGTTATTTACAGATAACTTTCAAGCTTTTTTATTATTTATTTGTTTTTTTTAAATTTCTAACTTGATTGCCATTTTGTGTTAAAGCTTTTTTTAATAATTTCTTTTCAAAAATCCAGTTGTCAGCAAATTTCCATTAATTGATGTATAACTATCGTACTTTTAACTTTACATCTTTAAAAGTACACTTTTCCCATTCATAATTTCTCACAAATTTCTCCAACTTCACCAAATTTCGCTAATTGTTTCCATTTCTTATGCAAAAATTTTTTGTGCCGAGTGCCGTTGTCGTAAAATCTCGCGGCTGTTCTCATTGTCTTTTTGGCTGTCTTTTTGTTTTTCTAGGGCTTACTGTAGCTATCAGTTTCTTGAATTTCTTCAACATTTATCTAGATTTTATTTATATCTTTTGTTTTTAGAATGAACATATTCACCTATCCACCTCAATATTCGCACTTGCCGAGCACGTCAATCAGTCCATCGCCGCCTGACATCTCGTCGGAGAATATGGATCGGAAGGTGGGCAATTTTTAGATGATTATGCCAATCTATTCTTTTATTATAGTAGGATAAAAGGTATTCAGCTGACAGGCTTTTTTTTAAATCAATTTAATTGTAAAGATATTCCATGTAAAGAAAGAATCCATGCAGCTGAATACTTTTCTTTTTAAACGTTTTATATTAAGTCAAATTTTAGCCTACATAGTAATCCAATCAAGTATAATACAGTACAATACAGTACAATACAATACAGTACAGTTTTCGTGTCTACATAGTAATCCAAATCAAGTAAAGTAGCAATTTTTTAGACGAAAAAGCCGCTAATGGAGAAACGACGACGCGAACGGATTAACGCATCGCTTTCCACGCTCAAGGAGATCCTCATGGCCGCCTATCCACAGCAAAAGTTCGTTGAAAGTTAAATAAATTAAAGGTTTTAATGGTGATTGTAAATTATTGTAGACATTACTAGAAATTTTCTTTTTAGTTCCAAGCTCGAGAAAGCGGATATTCTGGAGGCGACGGTGAACTATGTGCGTCGATTGCAAACACAACATGGTGGAGTGCAAACAGCAATCGCTAAAGAGGGTCAGTCTTAAAATTGATTCGCTTTCTATCTTTAGATTTCTCTGATTTCTTTGATTTCTTTGATTTCTTTAGTTTCTTTAGTTTCTTTAGATTTCTTTAGCAACGATTTTAGTTTTAACGCTTTGGCTTTGGCTTTGGCAAACTTGTATCATTGATTTTCTTATCTAAAACTTCTTCAATTTTCACTTTAAACCATTTGTTAAATAGCTTAGGCATTGTAGATTCTAATAGTTTTTAAGTTTTCTAATAGTTTTTCAAATTCGATCACAAAAAAAGTTTAAATTATGGCAAGTTTTTGACAAAATCGTTACCCCTAGATATTAAAGAAGTAGATATATGATCAATATTCTTTTAGAATGCCGATTGATGTTCCGAAACGGTTACGATTGCGCGTGGAAAGTGACCGGTCAAATGGCTCAAGAACACTTGCAAACAGTGCTCCCGCCTCGGTCCGGCCCACACGTCACACAGATTCATCTCGGCTTCATCGAACAGCTCAAGTAAGTCGATAAGATTTAGATTATAGAATACATAAACCATAGGTTATTTAGCTAGTATAAGTGCGGTGTAAGTAAACTGTGCCTGATCGGAGCTCAATGAAGCCTAAAAAAATGAATCCCATCTTATTATCTTATAGCTATTAACAAGTATCAGATCAAGTTCAAATTCCAGGCACTAGATTTATTCAAATCCATTCCCAGCCTAGATCCTAGCCACTTCTTAATTCAATAACCGTTCTTAATCCCTTTAAAAAGCGGTTTCTTTTGATTTAAAGGATTTGTCTACAGCCAGCGGCAATTCCCAGTCACTTTCACCGAAAACAAACACACAGATGGCAGAGGAAACTTTAAAGAACAAGTTGATGAGCAATGTGACAAATCTTTTCAGATATGAAAACAAAGATTGAAAGTGGGGGGAACCTAGGGGAATGGTAGATCCTTTGAATCTCTTGAACCCACCTGCTCTTATCTTTTTGATCTAATCCTTTAGACCGCTTGAAATTCAAATCTGATAAGTGAGAGGGTGTTTTATCACCAATTCTCTTTGATATTAGGTGCTAAGTTTTATCAAACGATAACTAAATAGCCAAGAATTTGGGGGTTCTCTTGGGTAAAGCAAAAACCTATGAAAGCTCGATGGTTAGGATGGTTAGGTTGACAAGTCACAGAATATTAAGCTTATAATTCTAGCTGATATATTGAGTGTTCGGCACAGAGTTGAAAAGTTTATTTACGTATTTTTTTTCAGGAAGCTTCAACACCCACCGCCTTTCCCTTTCCCCGGCTTCATGATCCATCCCGACCAGCTCGTCTCATCGATCCCTACAGGTAGATTTGGCTGAATATTATTCTTAACATAATCTTAAGCTATCGTAATCTATTAGAATAATGCTTCATAAGACTCATAGTTCTTGAAGCTCTTGAAAAATAAAAGTCACGGAAAAAATTGGGATAATATTGTTATCGCAACTATTGGGATAATATTGTTATAGCAACTATTGGGATAATATTGTTATAGCAGCAACTTGCAGGGCAAACCCTTTAAAACCATTATCTATTGTCTAATAGTTGAAATTGATTAGACAATTCTTTCTAGGCCATTCAACCACAAAATCCTCGCCAGCCAGTCCCGAGTCGGCCTACGGAAGCTCGCCTGATGTGACGCCAAGCTCAAGTGCCAAGTGAGTTAAATCATATCATAGACTTATCTAAGATTCAAGATTATTTCTAAGGTTTATCTAAAAAAAATCTAAGATGAATTTTATTCTAATTCCAGACAAATGCCTGTTTCGATTCCCGGCATTTACCCAACAACCCCACTCGCGCGTCCCGTTAAAGCAACACAAAAGGAAATCGATGTAGAGCTATCAAATGATGTAAGTTTAAAAATTTTTTTTGAAAACAGTCTGTAGGCATAGTATAATAGATAGTACAGTGCATAGCCACTGTAGCTATTCAGGGAACTTTACTTTACAGGGAAACGAGGACAACTAGAAGTTTATAGACTTGAGAAAATTGCTCAATAAATACATATTGGTTAGCTAAAGGTTGCCGTAACTACCGTAATTTTATAATTATAATCATTTGTTTCTTTTCCAGGAAGGTGACAGCGATTTCGACGAAGACGCTCCATCGCCACCAGCCGCCAAAAAGCCCAAACTAGCATCGCAAAAGGAGGAGCAAAAAGTTTGGCGTCCATTTTAAAAATTTCCCCCCAAATCCCTGTACTGTAACGATTCTCTCAGTACTATAAACTTAGGCACATTTTATACATAGCTATCCTTCTCATAAATCCGTAGTTTTTTTTTTTGTAGATTTGCTTATCAACAACCTTGGGACTACTGTAGTCTTAAGATGCTGTAGCCATAAGATTGCTGTAGCCATTTTCTGCGTTTTTAACGTCTACTCCAGCTACCGTAGTCATTATAAAGCTAAAAATCTGCTTTTTCTCTCGTAGTCTGAACTTTTGGAGTTTTCGATTTTGCACTAAAGGTTATCGATAAGCAAATCTACTGTAAATAGAGGTATCAAGCTGGCGGAAACGGGATCGAAAAAATCTCAAAACATTTCCAAATCTGCTTTTTCTCTCGTAGTCAGACTTTTGCAGTTTTCTGCCAACCTTTTAAAGTTATTCAGCTAATCAGTAGAGTAAAAGTTATCGTATCTTTTTGGAGATTTTTCGATATTTTTCGATATTTTCCGATTTTTCGGATTTCGTTTCCTCTAAATCCATTCAAAATTACGGTTTTTTTTTTCAACTACGGGCTTTTCCATTTTTGTCTAATTCATTCGGTGCCTATTTTATGCAAATTTCTAGGTAAAAAAAAATGTTTTTAGTGCAATTTTTTTTATTTGTTGTCATAAGATTTTCAAAGATTGTCTCTTTAGATCTCAAGAAATTTTCTCTAAATTCTGTTATTTGTGTGTGTTTGTGTTTTTTAAGGGAGTACTTTAAAGCTATGGTAAGCGAAATTTATACTATAGACTTTCTACCGTATCCCTTAAAGGTATGATAGATTTTGAATATCGTAACTTTGAATTACTTTGACTTACTAGATTACTAGATTACTATAGCTTTTAGTTTTTCGGATTACTGGGACACTGTAACTTTAGGGTACAATAGCTTTGGGGTACTGTAGCTTCTGTCTTTTGAAATACAGGGCTACGGTAACTTCGCTTTGAAGTACGGTGACTTTAGAGTACTGTAACTTTGGAGTACTGTAACTTTGGAGTACTAAGCTTTATAATACGAAAGCTTGCTTCGAAATACCGCGGTACTTTAGTCTAAAAGTTCGTACCAGTACTCTTTCATATTTGTTTATCTGTACTGTCCCCCCACTTGTTACCTTTCTTTGTGTGATTTCTCGTGTTCTAAGCACAAAAAAATTTATCCCCTTTACTGTATTGTAGTTGATTTTATATTTATATCAAATTTACTTGCCTTTCCTCGTTCCCCCAAATCTCTTCTCGGCTTCCCTCGGTCTCGGTTTATGGGTACTCACAAAAAATTTGATTTCTCTTTTTTTTTTATTTACTTGATCTGTTTTTTTCGATACTTGATTGGTCGCTAATAAATTCGTGATTGAATGGATTGGATAATAGTTAAACAAAAAAAAATAAGAGTTTAAGCGAAAAAAACTTTAGCTCTGGGACACTGTACCTTTGGATTACTCTCGTTGAGATACTGTACCTTTGAGATAGGATAGCTTTAAATACTATAGGTTTGGGGGTTGCTGTAGCTTTGAGGTACAGTGGCTTTCATTCATATCACTTCAAGCGCAATAGCTGCTTAATTTTTCAAATTTTCCAAAGCAGAAAGCCTGTTTTCAAAAACTCTCAATCTCTATAAGATCACCACAAAATAAATTTGCATATTTGTTTTTCCCATGGTATAACTTTTGAGTGCAAACAAATTGGGCCAAAGAGTCAACAATTTCTGGTTGATAAGCTGAGAGAAAGGGGGAAAATATGAGAAAATGAACAGAGTAATGATTGAGAAAACGCGAATCGCCTTGAATGTTTGGGAAAGTTGAGGGAGCCGATTTTTGAATGCAAATTTTCGGAAGCTCTGTAAAGACCCTGAGAATTCTAGGGTCAAATACAGTTACCTCTTAAGAAAATGCTTCATTTCAATAGCAATAGCTAAATATCTAATTGTAAAGCTAGGTTGAATGTTAGCTTTTGTTGAAATGCTTTGAAATACTTGAACTTCTTGAAAATTCTTGGACTAAGCTATTTCTAGAGTCAAGCCTTTTTCTCTCAACTGATGCCTTTTCTAAAACGTGTCAATTTTCTACACTAATCTTGCACATTTTTGGGAAAACAACCGGATCTCTCAACACAAATTTTTCGTTTTTTTCCATTTCCTTTTCAACAAATTTTCTATAGCTATCGTAATCTTATAAATCATAAATTTTCATAAATAGTTACCGCAAGCTTGGCTTTATTTGCTTTTTGAACTGTGAACTCTCACAATCAATAGATACTTAGATTATAAAGTGGATGAGCTGGCAGCAAGATTACAGTAGTTAGAAAAAGGTGGGGAGAGTTGAACTACCGTATCCCAGTCCTAATAGAAGCCACATCAACTAGGATTCACAGCTGGGTGTAGGATACGGTAACAACAAATGCATTCCCTTCAATCGACCTTTCATCGAACTTTCCCTGAATCAAACAATCAGACAGTGTGATAAAAAAAAAACGTTTGTTGAAAAGGAAATGGAAAAAGAAACGGAAAATTTGTGTTGAGAGATCCGGTTGTTTTCCCAAATGCTACCGATTTACCGCCGATTTTATTGTTTTCGTTCTTCGCTCCATTTTATTTCCTAGGCGAATGAATTTTCGTTTTCTTCATCCAAAACTCATATAGGGTTCAAAAGAATCTAATCGAAATGAAAAATATCAAACTTTAAAGTAATTTGCATAAAATGATATTCAAAAACTAACTCAAAATGCAAATTATTTCTTTCTCTTTGCCGATTCTTTTTCTTTTCTATGAAACACTTGAAAGTTTGTCCTCTTGACGCTGGTTTGTCCATCTTAAAAAAAAGTTTATAAACTTTAAACATTTCCAAGTAAAAAAGTAAAAATCCACTTTCAATCAATCAAAAACTACCTTTTTATCGGATTTCTTGGCACTGGCTGGGGTTTATCTAGAAAAAAAACTATATTGACGACAAAAATTTGCACGTACCATTTTTCTCATGATGATCTTGAATCTGTGGGTGTAAAGGGTCGTCAACCCTTTCCAAGTCGAGCTAAACAAAAAGATTAAGTGCATGGTAAGCGATTTCTGATCTAAAGACTTTGATCAACATTACCCTATACTAAATTAAAACTTACAGAATTGTTATCTGTTAGATTATATCTAACAGATAACTTGTACTAGACATTTTATTTCCCATATGCATTCAAAAACCCCCCACCTTGTACTTTCGACGATCGTTTCCTGCAGGCCGATGCAATCCTTCTCCTTCTTCTGTAAGTAAATAAAAATAGATAAAATAATGTAAATAAATAAAAAATAAAAAAAACCATAAAAGTTTAATAACACAGTAAGTGTGTGTAATTTAAAAAGTAAACCGAAGGTGCACTATAAAAAGCAAATTCAAATCCTACTTTTCTATCAAATTTGAGTGCCAGAGCACGTGCGATGAAAATTCCCCAAGAAAACAGCCGCTTCTGCAAACCTTGCTTTTCTTCGGCAACTCCTTGAGTCCATTTAAAAAATAAAAAAAATAATTCGTTCTGATTAACCTACAATAAAGCTAGCAATATGTTAAATTTTAAATTTAAAACCAACAGTATTTGAAACTTTTACCTTAGCTTTCGGGCTTTCCGTGTCGGCCGACCCACCCGGGTGATCCTTGTTTTTGGGCTTCTAAACGAAAAGATTTAAAATCGTGCCAAAGTTACTGACTGGCTGGCACAAAGCTTTCAGAAGTTGAAATCTAACGAAAACATTTGCATAAACGCCTATACCTTTGTGCTGAATATCTTCTTGAGCTTCTGATGAATGACCGCACGTTCTTTACACTTCTGAAAATTAGGAAACATGAATGAAACGATCAAAACAGCCAAATTCAACTAAAGAAGCAGCTTCATCAAAAAAAACAGTTTGGCTTCCAAATAAAGCTTAATTAAGCTCTGATTAAGCTTAATAAAGCTTAATCAGAAGTGCAAAGAACGTGCTTTGTGCCAGCCAGTCAGTAACTTTAGCCCGATTTTTTTTTCAATCTTTTCGTTTAATTGGCCTCGTGGAATCGCGACTTTTCGAAGTGTCCTCCTAAACAATGAAGTATTATCCAAAGATTTCTAGAGAAACCAACTTTCTCATGTTTATCGTCACCCTTTTTCTTGGGATCGTGCTGTCAATCTCCGTGGCATCATGTGAATCGGGCTAAAAGCGATTCATCGCAAGATATTCATATTACAAGGTAACAAATTATGGTATTTTCATATTTTCACCAGTTCGATAAACGATAACATGTATTTTTGATATAAATTTGTAGATTTATTTATCAGTTCTTAACGCTAAAGTACCGTTCAGTCAATATGAAAGATTGAAAATATAATTTCTATTGAAATAGTAAAAATATCATTCGCTTTCTAAAATAATTTTCTTTGCCATCATTGGGCCTTGCTTTAATTTCTCGCCGTGATCACTATTTTGAAGAACTATTTATAAAAGCGTATTTCAAAAAGCTTCCCCAATTTGTCACGGGGTTTTCAAGTGTTTCCTAATTGTTTAGACGTGCCCGCCACCGGCAAATCGTTTATACTAGAAAAAGAAAAGTGGAAAAAAAAAGCGGGAGTAGACACCCGCAAAAATTCTTCCTCCGAGATCGATTAGATCAAATGACTTTTTCATTTCTTTTTGCACAAATTAATCCACAGATCGTTCTAAGTTTTTGATTTTTGCAAAATCAATCATTTCAAATGAAACTTATATGTTTTTGGATTTTGAAAAACACGGCAAAACAAAATGATTCACGTTTTTTCTTCAAATCGCCCATTGCCTTTCTCTTTGCTGGGGGTGGGACAAATGCGACCTTTTTTTGCGCACCTGGACATTTGCGCACCTTTTTTTTGCTGGAAAAGGCCTTAGGCAAGGCCGTAGAGCTTCGAAAATATTTCCACATAAGGGAATCGTATGCGTAGATTCCGAATTTCGATAAATCAGTCCTCGCTGACACGTCAAATTTGGGCTAAAAGGCAAAAACTACGCAACTTAACGCTTTTCTGCAGTTTTTGCCTTTTAGCCCAAATTTGACGTGTCAGCGAGGTCTGATTTGTCGAAATTCGGAATCTACGCATACGATTCCCTTCTATGAAAACATTTTTGAAGCTCTACGACCTTGCCTAAGGCCTTTACCAGCAAAAAAAAGGTGCGCAAATGTCCAAGTGCGCAAAAAAAAGGTAGCATTTGTCCTCTTTGCCCCCCTCTTTGCTCTCTTTGTTCGTGTCCTAAAATTTTAAACTAGATTTTAGAATCAAAGTTTTTTTTTGAAGTTGCAAATCTTGAACCTTATAAAGCCACCGACAAATCGTTGGATAGTAATTTGTGACAAAGTTTTGATAACAATTTAGAAACAAAATCTTAAAACTAATTCTTGTCCGTTTTCCGGATATTTTTAAAAATCTCTTTTTTTCATCACATAAAAAGCAGTTTGGCTTTTAAATAAAGCTTAATTGACCTCAATCTTGAGAAAATGAATTAAGTGCAATCAAGTGAATTAAGCTCACCAAGTGAGCTCGTGCATTTTCTCAGGGTCGGGTGGAGCAATTAAGCTTTGAATTGTCAAAATGCTCGACAAGATTTTATTTTAATCCGCTAGAGCTATTGGGTTGGGGAGAATGAGTCGGCGCCAAACTTTAAAGGGACTTTTTGCACACATAAAGCCTTCTTTAAACATACGTTTGGTTTCATCAAAAGGATCCACTATTTCTCTACAAAATGACTTTTGAGAGATTCCACAAAGCTTTTCTTTCGTGGAGTTTATGAACTTCCAAACGCAGCTGGTTAAAATGGCAAAGAGTCCGACTCATCATTTGAACAGTTTCTTTCACATAAACCTTCTTTGTTGTTTATATAAAAAAGATAGAGCACATTCCATTACTTAAGTTGCCAAATTTGCAGGAAGATTCCACCAATGGTTTTTTCTAGATGACAATTTGTAGTTTTTGTGAAAAAATGGCTTTTTCTTGAGCGGAGGCGCTGTTTGAATTTTCTTTTAAATGTCATTTTGTAGAGAATTAGTTAACCATTCTACTGATATCAAACGCATATTATTTGACGAAGTCGAATAGAAGTTTTAGACATTTTTTTGATTTTCGGCGCCGACTCATTCTCCCCAACCCAATACAAGCAATTCAATAAACAACTCTATTCTTTATTAAATCCTCAAAAAAATCACCTTTCTAGCGGGTGTCCGTGCGATAACTGTGGTCGTTTGATAAAATAGACGCTTTTCGAGCACACATCACCATCATCACCCATGAACACAATCTAAAGAAAAAGTAAAGAAAAAGAGAAAAAGAAAAAACGAAAAGACCAATCACTGGTCAAAGTTGAGTTCAAACAGGTGCAGAAAAGAAAATTTCCCAAACACTTTAACTTTAAACGAAATTTTTGGTGCTTTTCAAAACAGCGCCGGCCAAAAAAATGCATTTGCGATTAAATTTATTTGTGTTTCTTCATTTTCATTGAATGTAGAAAAAAATTGGCTATCTACTGATTTTTTTTTTTGGCACCGTTTAGAACTAAAACTAGGATGAGAAAATGCCAAAAAAAAAAACGAGAAAGGGCTCAAAAAGAGGTTAACTGAGCTTTTCTCGACACCAATTCTGTTTTCAGTGATCCCAAAGTATGCAAAATGTAAATAATTTTATTCTGCATCCAATAAGAATAAGAAACACATAGCAACTTCACCGCATAGGGGCTATTTTTGGCGCTGTTTTGACCAGCTCCTGAAATTTTTGTTTGAAAAAGAATTAGAAAATGACATTTAAAAAAAGATGAGTAATTTCGGAATGAGAAAATTTGTGAGGGCAAAAAAGGTTTATATTGAAACTTTAAGTGCTAATTTTTCTTCTCTTATAATGTTGATTGTGATTCGTTGATTTCTTCGTTTCTTGATCCCTTTCTTGATCCCTTTCTTTTTAATTTTTATCCAATTTTTGAATTAATTTTATAGTTTTTAGGTATGAAAACTCGGGAAATAGTCGCGTTTTTGTTGATTTTCTGGGTCGCGACAACGCTGGCTGGACCTCAATACAAAGAAAGGCGAAAAGGTAGGGGTTTTTTTCGATTCAAAACATGGCTTTTAAACGGCAAGCGTGGCTTTTAATTTCTAACAGTTAGAGTTAGAGCCAGTGACAAGAGCCAGTGACAGTTAGAGCCAGTGACAAGAGCCAGTGACAGTTAGAGCCAGTGACAAGAGCCAGTGACAAGAGCCAGTGACAGTTAGAGCCAGTGACAAGAGCCAGTGACAGTTAGAGCCAGTGACAAGAGCCAGTGACAAGAGCCAGTGACAGTTAGAGCCAGTGACAAGAGCCAGTGACAGTTAGAGCCAGTGACAAGGGATTATAGTAAATTCTTTAGAAACGGTGAAAACGTTGAGTCAAAAGAAGCCGGTGAAGCCGAAAGGTGTCTCGTGGAATCCGATTTGCACCGGATGCATTGCTGGTGTGGCCACAGCTGGGTGAGTTTCAAAATTAAATTATCTTTTGCTTTCTAAAAGGTGCGCTTGGGAAAAGATATCGTATTATACGCTAACTTTACCGTATGCGGTAAGCTAATTTATCCTCGCCTTGATGGATTATGATAGTCTCTTCTGGTGCGCACTTTTTAGAAATACTTAAAACTTTCGAATCAATAGCTCAAGTAGGTAATCGCTTTTTAGTTTGATTCTCAAATTCGATCAAAGTGAATGGGCGGTGATCCAATTCGCAAAGACGATCTGCAAGCTTTTCGCACATCAACCATGGACCGTTTGCGACGGGATTAGCTCTCAATTTCGGGTTAATACAATGCATAGGGCGAATACCGTAAATACTCTAATAGAACGCCATCTACTCGTACAGTCGCGTAGTCTAACTTTTTAGAAAATAACTTTTTTCACAGCCCCTAGATTTTTTCGAGCTATTTTTGGTATCAAAAAATACTAGATTGCAAGGGCTATCATTTGACATTCAAGCGCACACTGTAGCATAAAGCAGCGCGGAGAATGGGAGGGTCAAAGTTAGACTACGCGGCTGTACGAGAACGGGAGGGTCAAAGTTAGACTATGCGGCTGTACGAGAACGGGAGGCTCAAAGTTAGACTACGCGGCTGTACGAGAACGGGAGGCTCAAAGTTAGACTACGCGGCTGTACGAGAACGGGAGGCTCAAAGTTAGACTACGCGGCTGTACGCCCGTCATTATGGATCTGGCGCTTCTTTTAGAGTATTTACGGTATAATTAGGCTGTCTAGAAAATCTTTTCGTTTCGTTTCTTTTCATACTTCCGTTGAAAAATAACAAATTCACCAATTAGCTTATGGTTTTCTCTAAAAAAATCAAGAAATAAGACATTTTAAACCCGTTTTAAATGTTATTTTGCAGAAATAATTGGTCTTTCTAATAAAACAAACCGTAGTTCAATTGGTGCATTTATTGGTTTTAAACGAAAGACAAGACAGAGACGGAAAAATTTCTGTACGAAAAGACAGAAAGTTTCTGGACAAAAAAATTTCAGGACGAGTTCTTCTATGTGTTTCGGCAACTTTCCTCAAGCCCATCTCAGGTTTTTTTTTCTTTAGAAATATTTAAAAACAGTGTAAAGAGATTCGAAAAAGATTATGGACATAGATTTTCAGATTTGCGGTCTATTGATCCCAGATTGTGCCGATCCGAACGATCCACAAGAAGCCGGTTGGAGAGTCTCCTTGCCACCACGACCCATCAAAAGAACTCCATTCAGTAAAAAAGAGAAATTATCTAAAAAAAAATGAAAATATTCAGTTCAACCATTGAGAAGTGAACCGTTACGCGTATTGCAATTGTCAGATCTGCACGTCGATTTCGAATATAAAGAAGGGTCAGAGGCCGAGTGTGATAGTCCGATTTGCTGTCACGAAAGTGTTTGTGGGTTTTGAATTCGATAATACTTGTAATAATCCAATTGGATAATCCAATAAGCAAGATTTCCATTGCTTTTTTAATATCAAAAATTCTCTTACAATCAATCTTTCAACTTTCAGCTTCTCCAACGAAAGCAGCCGGCTTTTGGGGCACAGTGGGTCGTTGTGATGTCCCGTATCGAACCCTCGATGCGATGCTCGATCACATCAATCAGACGCTATGGGTTAGTTCTCAAGTATTGCACAGTACTGTCTAGAAACAGACTTCAACTAGCCTTTTGTCATGGCTTTTCCCAAAATTTTGCCGATTTCCAGATTGACTACATTCTTTTGTCCGGCGATTTCGTTAACCACGCCGATTGGATCTATACGAAAGAGGTTGGCTTTAATTGAAATAATTTCTTTCGAAAAATCATCTTGGCTTGACGAAACGACATCTTGGCTTGACTATTCTTTGGTTCTTTTTGTTCACAAAAAGTTCTTGAACCCAGAAGCCAGAGCTGGATCTCTAAGTCTGACTCTTGCTTAGCTGGGGTGACCCTATTACTGACCAAATCGCTTTGCTTTATTTAGGAACATCTCCATGTCCTCCACAATCTCTCCTCATTGATCACCAAGTATTTCCCAAAAATTCCCACCTATTGGACACTCGGAAATCATGAAGGAGTGCCAGTGAATAGGTGAGAAGAAGACTCGATTCGTTTTGTAAATCAGTATAGTTTTATATAAAAATCCTTTAGTTTCGCCCCTCACTCAGCCCCGGAACGTTTCCTTCCCTCGTGGCTTTACTCGGCTTTCCTCAACATTTCCGCCCCGTGGCTCGATTCGGAGAATAATGAAACGATTATGTAGTAAGTTTATCGAAAAATGGAATCATTTTGTTTTCAAAATCAATGTATTGAAATTCCCATACTTCTCCTAGTTCAGGCCAGGTCCAGCACGTGGATCAGGCTGGTGAACTTGGGTTTGAACTATCTACTATATATAAAGCAGAAGAGACGTTCGTCTGTCCGTCCGTCTGTCCGTCCGTCTATCCGTCCGTCTATGCGTAGCCATTGGCAAAAAGGGACGGGGCTTAGATTGCGTGGAAAACGCTCACTAACGTTCGCGTTTTCCCCTGGGCATAGCATAGACTGGGACAGACTAATTCTAAACCAGGCCAAATTAAGTCTAGCCTAGGTCGGACCAGGCTGGACCAGACTGACCTGCCTATTAAACTACTCTAAACTAGACCAGGTCAAGTTCAGAGTCTAGCCTAGATTAGGCCTTGGGCAAAGCTGGCCATGAATTAAACTAATCATAAACTAGACCAAGTCCAGAGTCCATTTAGTCGCGGCTCCTATTCAACAGTGATCTCCGAAGGTCTCCGTCTCATCTCGATCAACACCGGTTTCTGTGAAACAACCAACTTGTCAGTATTAAGCCTATATTCTTGTGCTTCAAATTTTAAGATAACCAATAATATCTTTCAGCTTCTTGTATCTGAATCAAAGCGATCCCGATGGAACAATGTCATGGCTAGTGGCTGAACTTTACAAGGTACTTTCTTTCTTTCTCTTTCTTTCTTTCTTCTTCCCCCTTGTCTTTCCCTCTTTCTCTTGGCAAGTTATGGTACCGGATCGTTCAGTGGTTAGAGCAATTGCCAGCAATTGCCATTCCCCTCTCTCCATTTTCAATGGGTTCAATTCCCTCTCCAGAAATCTACAATCCCTTCACTTCTTTATTATATTCTGTTTTAGGCTGAGTTGAACGGTGAACGAGTTCATATTCTTGGTCATATCCCGCCCGGAGACGGTGAATGTCTAGAGGGATGGGCCAGGAATTACTATCAAGTTGTACAAAGGTAAAAAAAATAATAGACACCTATAGATTAGCTTATTCTTTAAAGCTTTAAATTTTCTTTTTTTTTTAACATTGTAACAAGGTTCGACAACATTGTAACATTGTAACTAGAGAACTTTAGTCAAAAATTTCTAGGTTTAATGAGACAATCGCCGCGCAATTTTTTGGCCATGTACACTGGGATTATTTCACAGTTTTCTATGAGAATATGCACGAAATCACGTCGAATCCGGTAAATGAGTTAAAAAAAACAATTGCATTAGTTTACTAGTAATACAATTTACAAGAAACTCAAGCTTTCTATATTCAGATTGGTGTCTTGTATGCAGCTCCGTCTGTGACGACTTTCGAGCAACTCAATCCAGCTTTTCGAATTTACACTGTTAATCCAAAAAAGAATTATGTAAGCTAAAAGCTAAAATAAGCTAAAATTTAATTTATAAGTTTACGTTAAGTTATCCAGCGCTTAAAGCTCTGGGTAGCTTATAGCTTAAAGCTCTGAGTAGCTTGTAGCTTAAAGCTCTGGATAGCTTGTAGCTTAAAGCTCTGGATAGCTTGTAGCTTAAAGCTCTGGGTAGCTTGTAGCTCAAAGTAGCTTAAAGGTAGCTTAACAGCTCTGGATAGCTTAAATCTCTGGATAGCTTGTAGCTTAAAGCTTTTTTTCTCTTTTTAGGAGATCTCCAACTTTGATACTTATTCCACCAAATTGGACACGGCAAATGAAACTCATCCACCTGAGTGGAAACTTCTCTATTCAGCTATGGTAAAAGACAACTAAAGCTACAGTAATCATTGATATTTAGAATTATTATAATCTGACTGATTTGAGTCCAAAAAGTTGGCACAATTTGATCGAGGAGATTCATGGAAATAAGACGAAAGCTAACGAGTTTTACTGGTAACTCAAAACTTTTGACAATAGCTTCGATATAAAAGTATTGTAAAGTAGAGTAAGATAGAAAGAATTTTCAGTTTGGCCACTCGAACAAACCCAACAACATGCGACTCTGAATGTCAAAAGACTCTTTCTTGTTCCCTCCGATCCGGTCATCACAATCAAACCCTCTATTGCCCTGAACAGAAACATCATCTCAACACAAATCGAGTGCCTGGAAAAGCTTATTAATATAAACTTTTCTTTTTTCGATTGTTGATCCATAGTTCATCCATCCAAGTTTCCTTTTCTTCTCATTGTTCATCACCTGTTGTACTGCTGTTTGTATATAAGAGGTGTATAAATTATATATGTACTTTGTTACGTACAACTTAATAAGAGAAGTTGTCAAGCATGCCAGACCGTGTGCATTTATCAGAGCACAAAGTATGAGCTAAGTTTTGTTGGGCAACGACTCCACAACAGCTTGAAAGCTGGTTTAACAGGACACTAGCTTGTAAGCTAGGTTATGCTAGGTTAGAAGTCAAGCTGTGTGAAATAGGGACCTTTGTAGATCAGGCCGACAGTAAAGCCAAGAACCGGATCCTAGGGTCCTAGAATTCAACTGGTCCTAGGGTCTGGTTTGACCTAGCCTGCCGGACCAGACTTCTAGAGGGATGGCCAGGCTAGACCTAAGCCTAGCCTGAGCCTAAGCCAGGCCAAGTGGTAACCTGATCCTTGCCTTGCCTCCGGAAGAACCCTTGGATCCACAGAAAAGCTGCAAACTACTGCAAAAGGCAAAGTACCCCTCGTCGAAGTACTAGAGAGTGATCGTTGTGGTCTTTCCTTTCCTTCTTGAGTACATACACTCCTTGTCTTTTTTTTTCCCCAAACTTCAACCAGGAAAGTGTTTTGAATCCCTCGACGAAGCTCTTCTCCGAAAAATCGCTCTCCAGGGACATCTCTCTTTCAAAATGAAACGAGGTTTTTCACAAGAAAATGCTTGCTAACTTTTAACTGTTGAGTCTTAGAATAGAGGTCACTTTTGCTTTTGCAGAATGCTTCTCATTTGATCGAATTATTTTAAGTTCAACTTTTTAAACAACTAAAATAGTAAACAAGGGTTTTCAATGACGCAAAACTAGATATTTCACTTGTTGACCGTTTCAATTACTCAGCTTTGAGCTTTTTGGGATTGGCTTATTTACTCAAGCTTTGTTAGCTGACTTGGCTTTAAGCTTGTTGGGCAGTTACCCAAATCAACAATCAACTTATGGTTACTTTTATTAGAATCTACATGAAATTTGATTAAAGAAATATAAAATCTGTTTTGTAGACTTACGGATAAAAACATATAGAAAATTAGGGTCAAAGTTACCCCATAGCTAGTAAAGGTTACCCCATAGCTAGGTATGGGGTAAGGTGAAGCTACCCCCATACCTCAAGGTTACCCCATAGCTAGGTATGGGGTAACCTAGGTATGGGGTAACCTGGGTTAGGGGTAACCTAGGTATGGGGTAACCTAGGTATGGGGTAACCTAGGTATGGTAACCTAGGTATGGGGTAACCTAGGTATGGGGCCAGGTATGGGGTACCTAGGTATGGGGTAACCAGGTATGGGGTAACCTAGGAGGGGAACCTAGGTATGGGGTAACCTAGGTATGGGGTAACCTAGGTATGGGGTAACCTAGGTATGGGGTAACCTAGGTATGGGGTAACCTAGGTATGGGGTAACCTAGGTATGGGGTAACCTAGGTATGGGGTACCTAGGTATGGGGTAACCTAGGTATGGGGTAACCTAGGTATGGGGTAACCTAGGTATGGGGTAACCTAGGTATGGGGTAACCTGGGTATGGGGTAACCTAGGTATGGGGTAACCTAGGTATGGGGTAACCTTGGAAAAAAGCTAGGTCAATCACTTATATATTTATATCTTTGTTTTCCTGCAATCCTTGGACAAATAATTTCAAAAATTTCAAGTTCTCAATCTTTTTTCCTTAACAAATTCCATACTTCCTCATTTTCCATTCCCTTTTTCCATTCCCTTTTCCCATTCCCTTTTCCCACTTCTTTTCCCATTTCTTTTCACTCAAGGTGATCTCGTCTTTCAACTTTCACTTCCCCAATGATCATTTTTTTTTTCTTTTAGCAAAAAAAACAACCATTTTCATTTACGAAATATCTTATTTTTGCAAGATTTCATAATCTGATTTGCTTTTTTTAAAAAAAATAATGAATTAGAGTTGTTTTATTAGAAAAATTGTCGATAAAAGACTGATTTAAAAGTAATTTTTCTGGAAATTCTTTCGAAAAACCGAAAATTAAGATTAAATGCTTTTTTTGCTTTGAATTCCGTGCACCAAATGGTATGCGATTAAGCGAAACAAAAAAGGCGGGAGGAATCTAGAAATTGGGTGAAGAGGTAAATGAAGCTATAAATAAATATAGGATTTAAATAGTTTTAAACGTCGCGCTAATTATCATCTAGATTACATTTCTCTTGTCTTTTCTATAAGATTCTATTATTCTAGAAAATTGAGATCTTAAACTTGCCACTTTCCATCGAATAAGCCCAATTTTGGTATCAGATTTGTGATTCCTCATCTAATTCAATCTGTTGAACAATTCAAACTGTTCAAGCTGTCTAATTCAAGCTCTAATTCAAGCTGTTGAACCATTCAAGCTGTTGACCAATTCAAGCTGTTCAAGCTGTCTAATTCAAGCTGTTGAACAGTTCAAGCTGTCTAATTCAAGCTGTCTGATTCAAGCTGTTGAACAATTCAAGCTGACCAATTCAAGCTGTCTAATTCAAGCTGTCTAATTCAAGCTGTTGAACAGTCAAGCTGTCTAATCAAGCTGTCTGATCAAGCTGTTGAACAATTCAAGCTGTTGACCAATTCAAGCTGTTCAAGCTGTCTAATTCAAGCTGTTGAACAGTTCAAGCTGTCTAATTCAAGCTGTCTGATTCAAGCTGTTGAACAATTCAAGCTGTTGACCAATTCAAGCTGTTCAAGCTGTCTAATTCAAGCTGTTGAACAGTTCAAGCTGTCTAATTCAAGCTGTTGAACAGTTCAAGCTGTCTAATTCAAGCTGTTGAACAGTTCAAGCTGTCTAATTCAAGCTGTTGAACAGTTCAAGCTGTCTAATTCAAGCTGTTGAACAGTTCAGCTGTCTAATTCAAGCTGTTGAACAATTCAAGCTGTTCAAGCTGTCTGATTCAAGCTCTAATTCAAGCTGTTGAACCATTCAAGCTGTTGAACAATTCAAGCTGTTGACCAATTCAAGCTGTTCAAGCTGTCTAATTCAAGCTCTAATTCAAGCTGTTGAACAATTCAAGCTGTTCAAGCTGTCTAATTCAAGCTGTCTGATTCAAGCTCTAATTCAAGCTGCCTCAGTTTTCTAAAAAAGGTGAGAATTTAATGTTCAAGAAAAAGCACTAAATTTTATTTAGCTTTTAGATTTTGAAACAGGCCAGCTTTTGCTTAGAGCTTCAGCAAAACAACTCCCATTTTGTGTGTGTTGCTCGCCTCTGACCTTGGATCCTTGGACCAGCCCTGGTCCAAGGACCAGTTTTCCAGGCTAGGCCATACTCAGGACGTGACTATGCCAGGCTAGGCAAGGCATCCATTCTTACAAAACTTTACCCAGCACAGGACTAAGCCATGTCCATATTTCTAGGGTTTTGAAAACCAGGCTTGACTTTGACTCGTGTGCTAGATTACTGGCTGAACACAGGCTGGTAAGCTTCGCTATGTTTCAGCACTTGTCAGGGTACAGGCTAGAGATGGGAAAATTCCAAGCTGAACCTAATTCCACCTTCGTTTTCTCGTCCGTTTCTTGGCTGATTACTCTGAAATTTTGCCTACAAGCTGAAATTTTCGTTTTCTATCTGTAGACAAAATTTCAGAGCAATCGGTTGAGAAAAAAAGAACTAAGAAGAAGAAGAAGAAGATGGTGGAATTTGGTTGAGATTGGAATTTTTCTATATCCAGTACAGGCTTTATCTAGCCGATAACCTTTTCCCATTGAAAAGATCCAAAAATAATGATTTATATTTGAAATTTATTCTTTTAATGCTTATAAGATGAATGCAGGGGGTTTTTGGGAGTGATTTTTATCAAACATCGGTCACAAAAGGTCAACCCTGACACCGCAAACAAGAAAAAATAAAAAAAATATTCATTCACGCCTACTTTTTATCACTATAAACCATAAAATTTCGTGTCTTTGTGATAAAATTTCGATTTTCTTTCGATTTTCTGTAAATTCAATTATTGAACTGTAAATTTATTTATTGAAAATATCTTTTCCACTCATTTAATCACAAAAAAAAAACCATTCGGGTAAACATTTTAATCTAGAAAAAACACGAGATTTATCGAAAAGGGGGCTATTTTTTTTTCTTCAAAATTTCGACAAATTTGACGTGTCAGCGAGGTCTGATTTGTCGAAATTCTGAATCTACGCATACGATTCCCTTCTATGAATACGATTCCCATCTATTTTTATACAAATTTTTGGGTTTTCTTGGTGCCATAAAGTTAGGAAATGTAGAAAAATGATCAAATTCAAAAAAATTCACATAAATTGACAATAGTGACCAAAGCATTTTTCTAGAGCTTCAAAAATGTTTTCATAGGAGGGAATCGTATGCGTAGATTCCGAATTTTGACAAATCAGACCTCGCTGAGACGTCAAATTTGGGCTAAAAGGCAAAAACTACGCAACTTAACGCTTTTCCGTAGTTTTTGCCTTTTAGCCCAAATTTGACGTCTCAGCGAGGTCTGATTTGTCAAAATTCGGAATCTACGCATACGATTCCCTTCTATGAAAACATTTTTGAAGCTCTACGACCGTTCCTAAGGCCTTCAAAAAGGGTGCGCAAAAAAAAAGTCGCATTTGTCCCACCCCCTTTCACAAGTATAAATCCTTTTGTTTTGCTGTAATTGATTGAAACTTTTATTTTGAAACTTCTTTATTCCTTTTACAAACGCTAACATTCGTCAAATGTAGGTTTAGTTGCTTTATATAAAGTTGAAAACAAAGTTACCAGAATAAAAAAAGTTTTGGAAATCACTTTTGAAAAGTGAAAAAGAGCTGGTGCAACGCCCGGGCTTGAACCCGGGCCGAAAGCCAGTGGGCTCAAGCTACGGCCTAGCGAACTTACCACTTGGCCATGATGGCATCTGTTCAAGGGGCGGAAGATCGCTTGATACTCCCGCGGTCAGATAATTACTCACTCAAAAACT